GTTAACAGGGATTGACAACGAAACACTATACTCATATCTATATATATCTATCTACATATATATATATATATATATATATATATATATATATATGTAGATAGATATATATAGATATGAGTATAGTGTTTCGTTGTCAATCCCTGTTAACGAAGACGGGATCACTAAAACGTTCCGTCGCTATATGAAATTGATAATGGAAAGGTTCTACAGCTCCACAGTTCGCGTCCCAGACCCTTAAATCCCCACTGGAGAATCTGAAACTCTACCATCTTAGGTTCGGTTGTGACATGAAGCAGGAAGAGATACACAGCTACTGGGGTCGATAATATCACCGCCAACTTCTTTCAGGCTGGCGATCCCAAGTTACACGTACTTTTGCACCCCATTTGGCATCTTACATCTAGAAATGTAAGACTTCAGACCAATTGAGGATGTCGCGTACAGTCATCATACCCAAGAAAGGTGACCGAAGGGATGTTTGTGTCTCCCGTCTAATATGCTTGCTGAGTTCAGTCTACAAGCTGTTCACGAAGATTATCCTTTTGTGCATATCGAATACCCTACATGAGGCACATCCAGCTGAACTAGTAAGATTCCGACAGCGTTCTGCTGCACGGATCATATCCAAGCAATACCCCGGGTCATTGAATTTTGACTCCAATAGGATCTGCCGGTAGTCTTGAATTTATCAACTATTAAAAAGCATTTGATAGCATCAACATGAATACAGTCATGTGAGCGGTCATCGACCAAGGAGTAAATCCGTCCTGTATAAGAACTATACTTAGCTGTCATTGGAGCCGCACCACAAAAGTACAGCTTTTTCATCGAAGTTTCACCATATCTATTACAAAAAAGGGTTTGCCAAAACGACACCATATCACCAAACCTTTTTACTGCTGCACAGCAGTGGATAAACGTATCGATGGATAATTCCTATAGAATTCTCGTTTCTTGGATGGCATCGTGATCTATTCGAGGAGTGGCAGTGACGCAAAAACGATTCCCGATGGACTCAAGGATGCAGGAAAAAAGATTGGATTGCGCATAAATAGGAGGAATACCTAGCTCATGAAAAACCCACGGTGCGAAGGCGAAGGAATCGAACTGGATGATTCGCTGATTACAGAGACCACCTGGTGTGTTTACCCTCGTGTGACTTCAGTTAACATGGAGAACAACGTGAAAAAGGTACTAGACAGAAGAATGAGACCAGCATGGCCGTATTTGGGTAACCCAAAGAAGCCACTGGCCAACAAGCGGTCACAATACTGCGCACTCATCTCTACGATTGAACAGTTCTCTTAACGCTCATTATGCAGTAGCGACGTGACCTGATTCTTCAACCATGTCAAGAATACTGCGAACTATTCACGGAGCGCTTGAGTGATATATTCTGAAATATAAGCGGGACACACAACATCTATACGGAATACGAAACCCTGGTCTTCAAAATCTTTCTCATCCTCGAGACAATAAAATACGCATCGATAACGAAATGTAGATGGGTAGGGCATATATTGAGAACAGATGACAAATGAATGAAAAGAACTGTAGAGTGGACTCTGCTGGGCGTCGCGTTGGACGACCGATAACCGTTGGGGGAAGGTGTAACTAATGTCAAAGAGCTGTGCTCGAAGTTAGCGAGGGAAAGAAACTAATGCCACATGTGTTGGGGTCGGCACAACTCTTGAAGACGAACCATCCAAGCATCTAAATGACTCACATTAACATAAAACTCAAAGGTTGTGTTCTTTAAAGTCATGTTGAATAACATAGAGAAGATTTAATTCAAGAAAAATATTCCGAAGAAATTTTATTCAATAGAAATATTTCAGGAACAAGGCGTCGAATTTTAAAGCGATAGAGCTGACATAATTTCCATGGTATTTTAAAATTTTGTAGAGCTCTTCCTTTTTTTAGTCGCATTCTATTTGTAACACGACAGTCTACTCAATTTTCTATTGAATTTGTGCGTTGAATTATAATGGGTAGTAAATGAGAGGTCAATCTGTTATGGAATATTTGAATGCAATTTTTCCAGTACGTGTGAATTCTATTGTTTGGTTTTTCGACTTACTAACTATTTAATTACAAAGGTTGGTCATCTTGATCCTATAGCTAAGAGACTAGAATGGAGACATTTATGTGTTTGTTACTTTTGTCCAGTATCACTGCTGTTTCGAATATTTTTCCGTCGTGTTCTATGCACTCTTGACCATTTTTTATAGATCAGTATTGAGCAAAATTTGGCACGAATAGCTTGCTGTCGACGCACCATATTGAGAGTTGCCTGCTTGGGACTTGCTGTCCTGGCCCTTAGGGCCTTGGTGGTACATATTTATTGTTGTGCCGTATATTCCAGTGCGTGCCAAAGCGGTAGACATATGATTCATTTTGTCCATATTTCTCTTCGTGGTCAATATTTTTTTCCACACATTTGTGTAGATACACGTACTGTATTTCGTTAATTTTCCGAGTTTTTTTCTACTTTTTTAATTCTCTGACGGATACATTTCTATTTTCATTTTGTAGAAGAAGAAGCCCTGGGAGAAGAACCGTCCACAAAAAAAGAAGGGTGGAGGAAAGAAGAAAGCACAGAAGCCTTTAGCAAAGAAGGTGGATTTCGTGTTTTGTCGTTGTATTTGTTTGAAATTGTTTTTCCTTAGGCTGTTGCAGCAGCAGTTGCACCGGCATTACTAGTGGACGATGATGAAAAGAAGGAAAACAAAACCGAAAAAGACGATGATGATGAGGTATGATACAGATTTGTTCGTCAACCACTTTGCGTCCTATATTCCTATTTCAAACAAGTTTTCAACACATTCAGACCTTACAATTCACATATAAATCATTTTTCCGGCTATTTATTTCACCACATCTAGTTTTTTCTATGCTTTTTGTATTTAATCGACAACCTCCCAAATAGCATGTTGTACGTGGCGCACTCTCTGGTAAGGCTCAGCGGACGTGTACGAGTCACATTTAAGTGGTATCATATTGCGCGCGAAGATGTATGCGTGGTCCCACAATATCACTCCATGTAATTAGGTGTTTGCATTAATGTAGTAATTCGGAGAGGTTTTCGTTGATCGACGAACACTTGTAATAACTTTTGCATAAGATACGACCTAGGATTCCGAGCCAAATAAAGTTCGTTTTAGGCATCATTGTCATCGTCAGATTCACCTCCAAAATTTGATGAAAGTGACCCGGACGATGACTGGAGCGCACATTCAGTCAAAAAGGTGAATTCTGCTTTACTGTTGTTATTATTCCTCATTGTTAGTGAAATGAATGAAACGTATCACTATAATTGTTACTATTACCATTATCTTATCGATTCCTTTTGTCATTATTTTTCCCTCTTTACTGTTATTTTTATTATTACTGTCGCTACTAACTTTTCTCTTTACTGCCTAATGCAATTTTTCACAGTAGGGTATTATGTGGAATTCAACCAATGTGAGCTAGATATTTGCAAAACTGTGGACCGCAGGCATCTGCGGTGAGGATCGAACTCGCTGCTACCCTTTCTGGGAGCTAACGCGTTCATCACCACACCATGCGGGTCCTTCGTTTTGCCTTTCTCTCGGCTAGTTTTGTATCTCTCAGTGCCATTCTATCTATTAGTAGTTGTGAACGCGTTGGCCCCTCGAAAGCGTGATAGCGTATTCGATCCCCACCACAGTCACCTACGTTATGCAGTTTTCCCACTATCGCAATATCATTGTGCACGTTATTACAACTATTATTGTCATCACTATTGTTATTATTATTGTTATTATTATTGTTATTATTGCTATTATTATTATAGTTGTTATTGTTATTATTACCATTGTTGTTATTTTATTGTTATTATTAGTTGTTAATTAATACTATTGACATTGTTATTATTGTTGCTGTAATATTACTGTTGTTTCTCACTTATTATTATTATCATTCCACCCAACGGTTTACCACTTCATCGTGGCTGGGAGGTTTTCCTGATGTCGGGCTGCGATGTACAGCAGGAGGATTCATCCTTCTGGCAGGGTGTCCCAAACTGAGTCCGGCGGTTTCCGTCAGGAATCCTAGCTAAGAGTAAACCAATACTAGGATCCACCACTGTCCTGGTATCAAAGTCGCATGGTGGCAAATCCTCCTCTGATCCACAAGGGCCGCTACTGCCTGTGATGGTGACGACCTGAGGCAGACTTTAGTTAGACTAACCTCGGGACTGTAGAGGAACACAATAGCTAAAATAGCAAAACTGCAAAAAATGGAGATTATGCTGGCGCCCGGACAACCAGTGAGGGCGGGCCGTCCAACTATCCAACTAGGTATTACTATTTTATTAATTGGTGTTACCGTCATCATTATTAATTGTCATGGTTAATTATTTCTATTAATTTTTTTGTCGTCGCAATTACTCACTATTATTTATCATTTATCATTATTATTGCTATTATTACCATTGTTATTACTATTATATCATAATTATGTGGCTAATGTTTCAAAGGTAACCTTCGATGCAAAATCACATAAAACGCATCTTGTCCATTGTCCCTACTTCCCACCAGAGAAGTTCGAATGGTGGTAAGTTGTTTTTTCAGCACCTCATGTTGTCTTCTGTGTAAGTTGTTATTAAGGTGGTTGATCTTAACGATGTTGGATAAGAAACAACGCCGTCTTGTTTGTCCAACTATCGCGTGCAAGACATTGGTTGACCAACAAACGGTTTTTGTTTAGTAGTCTTTGTAACTTAATCTCTTGTTTATTTTGTCATTTAGCCAATGCGACACGCTTTTATCCGGTGTACTTGTTGTTGCCTTTTTTATCTTCTCCATTACTGTGGTTTACTTTAGGTTGAAATGCGGTTCTCGGCACCACCACTCAAAGGCGTTTATCACTTTCAACTATCTGTTCGATCCGACTCTTATATGGATTGTGATTACAACAAAGACATCAAGGTTTGCTTTGTTTAGGATGCCTAGTAAACTTATTATGAGACACAACATTAAACTAATCGTTCTTGTTACTTGCTTATAGCAGTATGCGAAAGAGAAAAGCAAAAAAAACTAACGACTGCCAGAAAAAAAACTGCTAAACCAAGCAAGTTATTGGAATTGATAGAACACTATCAAGATCTTTTGCTTTTGCTCTCTTGAAATTTTCTTATAGCTGGAAGTAAAAGAAGCGAAAGAAATTGTGCTACCTAAGTACGAGGACACCGAAGATGAAAATGAGAAAGTCGCATACTCAAGTGAGGAAGAGTATACTGAAGGATCGGACTCTGATCAGTAGTTCTGATTAGGTGACAGATTCCAATCGAACATTTTTTGGATTCGTGTTCAGTGATGTTTAGATAAGTGTACAGTGGTTTAGTAGAAGTTATTTTGAAATGAACACTTCTTGAAGATGTGTCCATTTCCACTGGAGTCATATTCTGTTCCATTGTGATACCTACGTGTTTCCATTTCTTATTTCATTGTTGTTGAGCAGATCTAAACTATTACAAGTTTTCTATCGTCAGGTGCATTTAACTTTCACCATAGTTGCCCGTTGTGATGAAGCTCGAGTAAGCGAGTGCACCTGGAATTTCATGCAGTTTAATGTTAGGTCATTTTGCCACCTTCGGGCGTAATATTGTTCTGGGATACTTGTTGTTTTTTTTTAATATTTTGTTTGTGACACAGGATTCCTCATGGCAGGAGCTCGAAATGTCGTTATGGATATGACTTTATAAAGTAGTTCCCACTCTTCTATCTTTTCTGATGGTTTTCTACAATTCTCACACAACATGAGCAAATTTTGCCGACCTCGTATCCGAAGTGTTTTTTATTTTAGTTGTTAAAACCAACGTGTTATTGTATCTGTACATAGCTGCTGTATTGTTGACTTGCGCCATAGAGATACCCTGTGTTTTATCGTGAGATTTCATTTTTTTCCCTAAAGTTTTTATCTCTCGTATGAAATCATAAAAATTTAGTACTCATTCATTTCCTGCCCTTTGGAAAGATTCTGTTGTAGCGTCGATTAAAATTGGATATAAGGCGCGAATATTTGTTTTTGCGACGTGTATTTCAAACTTCCAGCCGTGTTTATTATTTAATATTTGTTACTTGAATGGTCACTATTCACGAAGAACATAATAGTACCTTTGGAATTATAAGGAACTCGGATGTGGGTATTCCCGTTTCCAAGTTGTAACCAGTAGCGGTTGCCAACACTTTGATGAGAAAGTTCACGAACATGCAATTGGATGTGTTCCAGTAGCTAGGCTTACCACCTCAGCATAATATGGCAGTGTTCTGCAATGGTGACTATATGTATCGCCTGTATCAGCTGTAGTCTCGTTGATCGTCGAGTGACTCGAGCGGGCTCGAGTAAATCTTCCATTTTTCCCTGTCGCGTGCAAGAATAGCCGACTGCACCATCCCACATCAAAAATCGATGCGAACATACGGGATCAGGTCGCGTATGACCTCCGGGCATTCATCCCTGCTATTCATTGTAGGGTTTTTGGCATTTATCCAATACATTTACTATTTTGTACCCATTGGAGATGGCTATTTGCCGAGCCAAGTCGCGCGATTCTTCCTTTAGTTCCCTGGTAGTGCACACAGAGGTGGCTGTTTGAAACATGTTTCTCACAATCGCCCTCTTTCTGTGTGGAAGGGTGGGAAGAAAGGAAATGGACAAGGATGTTCTTGTTACTTGGCTTTCGATACCACTTTGTCAGGTAACCGCTACTTGATAGGTTTATTTGAACGTCCAAAAACGGAAGCCAGTTTTTTCTCGGTTTCTCCCGGGTGAACTTTATGTACTCGGACTGCTTGTTCAATGATTCAAAGCATTTGTCCATCTCCTCCTGCGTAGAGAGGACGACAAAACAATCATCTACATATCTGCAGTAGAGTAGTGGCCGGAGATCGAGAACAGGGGCTTCTATCTTAGACATAAACACAATGGCCAGGCTTGGTGCCAATCGCTGTCCCATTGCCAACCCCCTCATTTCTGTGAAATATTTCCCAGACCATCTGAAAATCGAGCAGTTTAGGCACTCCTTTAAGAGAGCCATTAGCTCCTGGATGGACAAGCCATGCATATTTATTCTTCCTTCATGTTCAACAAGAAGTTCGAAGATGGCTTGCATTTCGGAGTTATTCGACATGTTGGTGTACAGCGCGGTAACGTTGAAGGACTCCATCACGTACGCGTTATTAGGAGACGCGTTACGTAGACGTTCTAGGAGCATTTGTTTATATGATCTTATAAACTGATCTTCTTAAACTGACGCGAGGTTGGTACAGATCTTCGTTGTCGTTGTCGTTGTCGTTGTTTTTGA